ATTCTGAATATGAGCGGACTTTTCTTTAACCCTTTATAGGACAATCAGTGAAATACTTTGAACATCCAAATTTCCAGCCAAAAGTGTTATTGGAATCCAGGACAAGGCTTTATTACCTTTGTATGATTAAAAAAATATGGATATTTTGATGGCAAAAATTAATGTCAATGTAATACAAAGAAACACCAACTTGCCGTAATATATTAAGAAATATAACAAAAGTGCTTCTAGAAGAAATTAATGAAAAACACTCAGAGGGAAAGAAACAAATTTTTTTGGGTCCAACATAACCTTAGAGGCACTAATGCTGATACTGGCACTTACATTTTTTAGTTTATAAACCGAAATATAATTGTTAACTAGGCGTATTAACTTTTTAACTTTTCAATTAGCTCTTTACCTTTTTTTTCTTGACTTGTTACCTTTTTTTTTAAACTTAATTTCCAGTAGGAAATCTATCATTCCAGGGCTCATCTAATTGGTCAAATGCCAAAATAAGATGTACAGCCATGTAGCAGGATATTTTCTGAATGGATGGATATAGATCTTGTGCTTCTAGACGTCACTGAGGGACGGTGGGGGGGTATGCAGGTGATCAAAAACGGGAAGTTGCCCTATAGAGGGTTTAAAGAGCCAGTTCCTGGTCAAGTTAAAGTTTGGAACAAAATCTATTTCAGAACTAATTACTGTTCATAGGGTTTCTCCATCCAACATTGGAGCCAATTTTAATTCTCAGCAAATAATCAAACATTTAATCCATCTCTTAATTGGTTATTTACTTTAATTTACAATCTTTACCTTTCTTTTTGTTCAAACTCCATTATCAGTCAAACAGTTTGGCCCATTTTCTGCCAAAACCATAAAGTGATGCTTAAAATAAATTCTCTGATACCTCTGCTGAATGGGGAAGACCTACTGAGAGCTCCTTTATGCTGGTTCACTGTGGTTTGGATCTGAAACTAACATCGCTGCCAGATTTCTAGCCTCAGGCCTGCATTCAGTTCGAGCTGCTGGGGTTACACTAAGCGGCGGGAACCGATATCTTCCCCCGACGCCCTTCTCTTCCTCTTTGCAACACTAAAAGCTGCTTATGGCCTCCAATATTTCCCAAATTAGAATCTTTATAAGCTGCGGCTGCCTGTGAGCAACGGATTGTTGAACTCATTGATCTTCTTTCTGTCAGACATAATGAACCAGAAGGGCCAGCTTGCCTGGGAGCTTTATCTGAAAATGGGCACCTCCTCAGATTCCTTCAGTGTGCTGCAGCTGATCGCCAACGACTGCTATAAGGTATCCTCCTCCTCTGTCCTTCTGTTGGGGTTTTTTTGGTTTTTACTTTTGTCTTTGATGAGAACTTTGTTTTCACTACACGTTAGATCACTATTTCAGGTGACGGCAACAAACAAAGCAATTCCAGGCAGCTAACAAAGCAAATATTGCTAAACGGAGTTTAAAATCACAGCATCTCAAATAATATAGCTATGAAAAACTTGCATTCAGACGGTAAATAAAAGTCCTGTTTTAGCTCTTGGTTCATTGTTAAAACAAACACCCACATACTATTGAAACCATATTTTTGCCCTAATTTATTAGCAGCTTTGCTTTGACTCTTTTTTTGTTGTTTGTTTTTTCATTATTTTATGCAGGCCAGTTAGTTCTACGTCAGCCTGAACACCTAAATTCGGCCAATCATATCAACGATCATCTGTCAATCTAATTTTTTCGGTCATAGCATCTTGATTCATATGTCGCAGCTAATTTACGCAACGGTTGAAACCAGAAATCAGAATCTTTTCCCATTGAGTGCTTCCGACAAACCGGTCACAACCAAACCTGCTTGTGAACCTTCCGCCACAACAACCCCGCCCCTTTGATAATCAACCAATCACATTCACTTTATTTACTCGTGTAAAGTCGGGCACCAGTCGGGAGAATTCGGAAATGCGACGGTCAGAAAAGCCGCTTCCCTATGACACATCACATTGACCTGTACTCTCAGTTGGGTTGGCCTTCCCTCTCTACGAAAGTCAGTGTCATTGGTACACTTTTATTCCAAGGCCCTTTTTGGATTACTGCCCTCTTACATTTGTACCGTACCTACACAGAAAAGCATGGCTTCTTCTGCCTTCAAATATTATTTCTCTGTGGGAGCCGCTCAGACCTAGCCTGACGTAGTCCTTCTCAATTCTAGTCAGAATATGAGTCTGATACGAACGAAGTTTCGAACGAACCAGGAAAAAAAATGCCTCTGCACTCAATTGGATAGACCTACAACCAATAAGAGCAACGGAGTGCGTGACGTATGTT